CCCAAAACCCCAAAACCCCAAAACCCCAAAACCCCGTGAACCAAATATGATGTCATTTTGTAGGAAATAAATTCTTATATTTAGTATGATTAGGGACTATACTTCACTATTTTATAGTCCAAATTTATAGATTAGTATTGATGGATTTATGATAAGATATAATTTAAAAAATTTAGAACTAACCAATGAGAAGAGCTGCTTTTACACTTGCATTAGCATTTGGCATAGTTGGATTCGCCCAAACCGCCCCAATAGTTGAACCGTCTATTCTTAATTATATAACTGAAGATGGTGCCCAACTTAGACTAACTGAACAAGGAAGTCAAAAACTTATTACAGATGTCTAAGGTTACATCGCAAATCAATTGAATCAATACAAGAGGGCCGGCCTTATTCTTCAAGAGGTCCCTGTTGATGGATCTACCACCTAAGGATAAACAACTCCAGCTGAAGGAGGTAATGCTGGTGCTACTAGCGCAAACCAAGCTGAGGGAGCAGGTACCACTGATGCAACAACTAACAGTACACCAGAATCTGGGGGTGAAACTGGAAAGGATGGATAAACAACCCCTGCTAATGCTGATGCTACTACTAGTGGATCAACAACTGGAGAAAATGCCAGCACAACCGGAGGTGATCAAGCTACAACCAATGAGGGATCAACAACTAGTGGAAGTGTAAACACAAACCCTGATGCTTCAACAGGATCAAATACTGATACTAAAACTGCTTCAAATACTGAGACTAGTCAAGGTACAACCTCTGAGGCTGGCGCTGGCTCAAACACTGGAGCTGGTTAAAATGCTGACACCACTACCACAAATGCCGGCACTGGTTCAACCACTGAGGCTGGAACTGGCTCAAATACAGATACTAAGACCGAAGCAGGAACTGGTTCAAATACTGAGGCTGGAACTACTTCAAATACAGATACTAAGACGGAGGCAGGAACTGATTCAAATACTGAGGCTGGAACTACTTAAAATACAGATACCAAGACCGAAGCAGGAACTGGTTCAAATGCTGAGGCTGGAACTACTTAAAATACAGATACCAAGACCGAGGCTGGAACTAACACAAATACCGAGGTAGGAACTGGTCCAAACACTGAGGCTGGAACTGGCTCAAATACAGAAACTAAGACTGAGACTGCAGCTGGCTCAACCACTCAGACTGGAACTGGCTCAAATACAGATGCTAAAACTGAGACTGGAACTGGCTCAAATACAGAAACTAAGACTGAGACTGCAGCTGGTTCAAACACTGATACTGGTGTTAAGACTGATGCAGGCAAAGAAGAGGCAAAGACTGAAACTCCAAAAGCATAAGATCAAACTCCAAAAGCTGAGGAGAAAAAATCAGAAGATCAAACTCCAAAAGCAGAAGAGAAAAAATCAGAAGATCAAACTCCAAAAGCAGGTGACCAACCAAAGCCTCTCCCATAAGAACAAAAGAAAATTGATGAATCACCAAAAACTGATGATAAAAAAAGCGAATCAACAACTAAGGATGAAGGAGGCTCAAATGGTCTTATATATGCTATCATTGCACTAGCTATTGCTGCCCTTGGAGGACTTGGATACTATCAATTTGTCTACAAGAAGAGAAACCAAGATGGATATACAGCTGCTCACTGAATATCATAGACTTGAGAGGCTTACTTAACTTTCTCAACCAAATTTATTTTTGGGATACTCGCAAAACCCAACCTTTAATCTTTTAACTAATAAATACTTACAAATATTTTTACTCTGAATTAGCAATATAGTCAAAACTTAATTAACTATAAATATAATTATTGATCTCTTATTGACTATTAATATTGAATCCTGGATCTAAGTTATAATAATAAATTTTATATAATAAAAACGAAACTATGAGATAAAGCCTTCTCTTGACTTTAGTCTTACTCATTAATGTGATATACTAAGGAGTATAGGGACAAACTGAAATTAATTTAGCCCCAGAGGACTTCATCAAAGGATTTAAGCCATATGAAGCATTGAAAGCTCTAATACAACAGTAAATTAATGGAGAAGTGAGCTGGGGCACATGCGAGAGTGCTGAAGGATTCAAAGCAGATTTATCAAGCACTCATAGCGAACCTAAAATCCCAGTTAAAGGAAAAGATGTGCTTTTGAACTTGGCTGGCACATTTACTGATGATATAAATCTTGATAAAATCAATGTCTACGTGGAGTGGAACAAGACACCATTGTATACTAATGACTTTCCGAGGTAAGCAGTATTTGCTGCCTCTGATCCCTACACTGATTAGATCAAATGGGCAATACCTGCTTATGCTCCATCTGGTCATTATGCTGTTAAGATATCAATGATTGACGATTAAAAGATAAGTATTGCTTGTATTACAGCTGATTTTGATCTTTGAGCTCCTTGAGTATTAGACAGATCAAAATATCATGAGTTATTTTCCTTTCATACAATAGTATCAATTAATTTTAATTATTAAATTAATAAAAATTGATTCAATCTCATGGGGTTTTGGGGTTTTGGGG